GTGTGTGTGTGTGTGTGTGTGTGTGTGTGTGTGTGTGTGTGTGTGTGTGTGTGTGTGTGTGTGTGTGTGTGTGTGTGTGTGTGTGAGTGAGAGAGAGAGAGAAAGGAAGAGAAAGGAAGAGAAAGAGAAAGGAAGAGAAAGAGAGGAGTGAGGAATAGAAAGAGGAAGAGAGAGAAAGAGAGGGATGAGGAAGAGCTTGTGTCTGTATATCAGGGAGAGACGGATGCGTGTGTACCTGTATAATATGTGTGTGTGTGAGGGAGATGTGTGAGGGAGAGCTTGTGTGTGTGTGTGTTTGAGCCTGTATGCGTGTGTGAGAGAGAGAGGAGTGTGAGGGAGAGGGATATGTGTGTGAGGGAGAGACTGTGAGTGAGCCTGTATGATTGATGTCTGTGTGTGAGAGGGAGAGATATGTGTGAGGGAGAGATTGTGCGACTGGGTGGGTGTGTGAGGGAGAAATTGAGTGTGTGCCTGTATGTGTGTGTGTGTGTGGGTTGGAGATGAGTGTGAGGGAGAAATTGAGAGTGTGTGTGAGAGAGATTGTGTGAGGGAGAAATTGTGTGTGTGTGCTTGTATGCCTGTATGACGTGTGTGAGGTGTGTGTGCCAGGGAAACCGAGCGCCTGTGTGTGACTGTGCGTGTGTTAGCGAGTGTGAGGGCCCCATCTTGTGTGGGTGTGCAATGTGTGTTGTGGGGAGTGAGTGGCGGAGGGGGTGTGTGTGCAAGGCACCTGTCTGGTGGTGAGGAGGTGTGCGGCTGTGTGTGGGGGTGTCAGTGACGGTGTGAGGTGCATCAGAGGGCATGGGGTGCGAGCGGCTGTGCGAGAGCGTGTGTGCGAGTGTGCAGCGCCTGTCTGGGGCCACCACGTGTGTGCAAGATCATCCATGTGAGAGGAACGGGTGTGTGTGCTGTGCCTGTGTGTGTAACGAGGACAGGCGTGCAAGCTCATGTAGGTGTCCCTCTTTTGCACACTTTTCCTTGCCTTAGTCCCAGAACCTGCTCCCTTGCATCTCTTCCCTCCCAAAAGAGCCTCCCACATCTCTCCATTGGCTCCTCTGGGGTTTTCCTTGTGTCCCTTTACTTGTTTACCAGCAAAGAGAGAAAAATGAGGGCCAACCTCACAGTGCATTTCCAGAGATCATCTGGAGAAAAGCTGCTTTACTCCGGAAAATGCTGCAGATTATATTATATTATTAAAGCACGGTGATATAAACCACCTGCCTCACTAGTTATCGCTGTGATTAAAGACAAACGTTGATGGTCTGATGCTTTCACGTGGGCGAGAGCAGGAATTCTCATAAAACAGAAACTGTACTTGGGTTATCAATAATTTAAGGTCCTTAAGAATATTTATACGTACAGATTAATCCTGAATGTCTGCAAACATTCCCCACTGCTTAATGCTGTAACGCTCTGAATATGAAATGGGCCTCATAGGACTGAAGGAGAAGCAGAGCTTCCTAACCAGCGTCCAGGGAACGCGAATCAGTGCGTTGGTGCCCACAGGTGATAAAGGGATTGTAAAAGAAAAAGAGAGAATCACCTGCTGGATTAAAGGACCTTTCTGTATTTTACTGCAAAGGTGAGCAACAAAGAGAGAGTGAGGTTTGTGCCTCTGAAAGATCTGAAAGCGGAGAGAGAAGCAAAGGGAGGTCGTCGGTTCTCACTGCTGAAAATTCTGGGCTGGTCTAAATCAAGTTCTTCTGCAGGGACAATCGAGGATGAGTGAGAAAGAGCAGGAGATAAATGACCTCGCTCTTCCTTATTTTTGAGACTTTGAAGATTTTTATTTTGATGCCTTTTGTTGAAATCTTTTTGTCATATGTAAAAGAAAGGAGAGATGTTGGTGCTGTTGCTTAGCAATTGATATATAGCTCCTGCTCTCCTCTGTGCCTCGGAACAGCTTTGCTCTCTCTGTTCTCCTTCCCCTTTGGATTTGGCAAGGGTCAGATTTTGATCTCCGTGATGGGAAAGGTGTACAGGGCTGGGAAAGGCTGGAAATGCTTTGTAGGCTTGCCAAGCATTCAACACGCACCTGCAGGATTGCAAAACAATCTCAGAAGTTTAGGAGACTGTCAAAACTTTCAACTTCTGCTTAGGTCTCATGGAGGAGATACAAATCCGAGGAGGAGTAGCCTGGCAGCTGCTTTTTTCTGGGTTTTGTGTACCCCTTGTCAGCTGGTCTGCTTCGTGCAAGGCAAACTGCCCCACAGTGATGTCTTTCCGTGGTTATGGAACATGTTGGATTGGGGTTCCCATCTGCCTCAGACTCTAGGATAACTTGGATCTTAGGATAAAGACATCATAGAATGCTTAGGGTTGGAAGGGACCTCTAGAGATCATCTAGTCCAACCCCCCTGCATACGCAGGGTCACCTAGAGCACGTGGCACAGGACTGGCAAGGGTCAGATTTTGATCTCCGTGATGGGAAAGGTGTACAGGGCTGGGAAAGGCTGGAAATGCTTTGTAGGCTTGCCAAGCATTCAACACGCACCTGCAGGATTGCAAAACAATCTCAGAAGTTTAGGAGACTGTCAAAACTTTCAACTTCTGCTTAGGTCTCATGGAGGAGATACAAATCCGAGGAGGAGTAGCCTGGCAGCTGCTTTTTTCTGGGTTTTGTGTACCCCTTGTCAGCTGGTCTGCTTCGTGCAAGGCAAACTGCCCCACAGTGATGTCTTTCCGTGGTTATGGAACATGTTGGATTGGGGTTCCCATCTGCCTCAGACTCTAGGATAACTTGGATCTTAGGATAAAGACTTTTTTTTTTTTTTTTTTTTGGAGATGAGACAGGCATACCTCTATTCCTAGTATTGTTAGCTTCATGATCACTGTTGAGTGGAATACACAAATATTCTGTATATATGCATATATATAAATGAATACGTATGATATCCTTAGAACTGTAGCTAGGAACACTGCTTAATGTTCTAGGCATAGACTTTGGGCTCTGCTTTTAGGGCACTAACTCACTCTGTTAAAGGTGGCTCATGATTCCTAGGGAGGCTCTAACCGCCGAAAACCAAACTCATCTGAGAGACTGCTCAGCAATGTCCTTGAGAAGAGGTTATTTTTTGTTTCATTTACATTCATGTAAATCAGACATAACTCCCAGGAGATTAATGACATGTTGTGTTTTTTTAAGCACAGAATGAGAATTGTTAAATATAATACATCTGCATAGCAGGTCTCTAACAATAGAGCACTGTTTCATTCCATCAGAGAGCTGCCTGTTTAATCTTCATTAAACCTCTTGCCAGACGTATGCATTTATTTAGGGATCACATTAATTGTTAGTTCTGGAACATCTTGGAGGTTGGTAGATTATTTGCAAATATAACCTTACAGGTAGGATCAACAAGACATTGCAAAATCAGGAAGCATTCACCGATCCTTATTAAACCTCTCTAGATTTCTGGGCTTCTTAGCTGGCAGCACTGGTGCACCCGAGCTGGGGTGTAGTGTATCCTGACATACCTCTTCCAGAGGTCTCCCTGTTGCATTTTTCAGGTACATAATTCAGTGTCATTTTGTCACTTTGAACAAATTTTATTCAATTCCCCCCAGTTCATTTTCACCACCAGACTTGCAGCAGCAAGGGCTAATTAAGATTTGTGACCACTGTCTGACAGAATAATATTTCTCATAATTACACATTTATCATTTCAATAATGTGTTGAAAAGATTCCCTGTTGGCCTGCACCAGCACTGCTCCTATTACCCTGTAGGAATCCTGTTTCCCAATTGGCCTGTGCTAGTACTGCCACTATTACCCAGCAGGAAAGTTGTCTTCATTATGAACACATTTATGCTTAGGAAAAAAAGGGCTTATAGAATAAATTCTTTTTGGAGTCTGTAATTATAGCATAGCACTATATAGAGCTGCTTTACAGCATGGACATGAAGCAGTACTGTAAAAATCTGCTTCTTGGCTTAGACACCTGGAACTCACCTTTCCAGTGCTAATATTGGGCCGTTTTCTGGTTACAGACCTCGCATACATAGTGCTGAGCACATAAACATTGCTGCTTAGGTAAAAACTCTCCTGAGCTATAGTTCCCTGCATTTTAACCTTGTATGCCAGCATGCATAGATTTATCTGCACCAGGATAGATGATACTGCCACGTACTTGAGTTCAAAATACTCACAAAATGCTAATAATTGCCAAATGTGATTGATGGTGGGACTGTAATGTGTCTGTTTAAGCACTAAGTTTCACATTTGCAGCAGAGATGC